CTAAAGCACACAGACCCGCTCACACAAACACATAATATAAACAATATGTGCTCGCACACACACAAACGCACGCACGCACGCATATGCGCACGCGCGCGCGCACACACACACACACACACACACACACACACACACACACACACACACACTACCTTTCAAAACAGATACAGGTACGCAGAGACATTGTGGTACTACGCACAGACAAACACATTCACTATGAATGCATTCGGCTACTACACAAACCATTTCCATCCCCCATCCCCTCTATTACATTAGCTCGCCCTCATTCTAACTCTCCCATTCTCTCTCTTCCTCGCTGTTCATAACAGTTAAGGCATCAGGATGGCTATTCCATGTCCACCTGGTGTTCAAAATAGACACCAAAGGTTTTGTAAGGCGTTAAATAATGTTCAATTACGTTTGTGACCTAGATGAACTTCATCAAATGTCAGACGCTGTTACACGCTACAACACAAAAATATCGATTTCCTGGCACGTTTTTCCCCCAACAACAAAGCAAAGTAAGTCAAATGTATTAATCAAATAACATTTTAATGAATAAAAGTGTTGATGTTTTTCTATCTTCGAAGAAGTGAGCTGAAGAGACGATGTTTGAATCTTTAACGGAGTCTTTATTAATTTTGATCAATAACATGCTCTTATTTTTCCACTAAGCCAATACACGCGGTGACCTAGAATGTGTACTACGTGCATTTGGGACTATTTGGATTACGAAAGAATGGTCTGAATTTGAACAATAGCGACATCTTAGATACTAGGACACAGCAAATGACATAAGATGAAAATTTCAATCAAAATCATTCAAAAAAGAATATCTGTCGTCATCTAAACATACACATGGCAAAAACCATTTTTAAATGTACATAATATGCATACTACTGGACTTCATAGAAGAGCAATCCATCTCTCCCCTAAGCTACACTGCCTATGCACGCAATTAGTGGGACCTAGTTCCTTTTCTAGTAATACAATAAGAACTACGATATTTCAAGTTCTCAAGAATAAAACGTTGGTAGAAAGATGTGAAGTGTCCTTCAAACGATCGATTTACGTCAACACCGACTTAAAAATGAAACCCCGCTAACTAGGCCAATCTGTCGTGTGGCCGGCTGAGAACACAATCTCGACAAAGAAACCATACCCGAGAATATCTGAGTGCAGTGACCGCTTCTTCTTCTTCTTCTTTCCTCGAGGAAACAATCAAGCGAACTGCCTAAACTCGACCTCCTCCAAAAACTACTACGACGTCAATATAGTTATTTGCAGGCGAGGATCCAAAAGATGTCAATGAACGGGTCTACGTCAATAATTTGCATGTGGTTGAAGTTTTACTCGTTGTAGTGATTGTTGGTGGTGTCATCTTTCCTTTAGTGACGACCGCAGTTTTTGTTTTCTTGGGCTTAATAACATTGCTTGCTCTCTCTCTCTCTCTCTCTCTCTCTCCCTCTCTCTCTCCCTCTCTTTCGCTCTCTCTGTCTCTCCCTCTCTCTCTGTCTCTCCCTCTCTCTCTCTCTCTCTCACACACACACTCTCTCTCTCTCTTTGAGGGGGTGGGGATGTTCTTTCTTTGTCATTAGCTTATGTTACGGTAATAAGAACGGCCCGTGGTACATAAACAACACAATGTTCTATCGAGAGAGGTCGCAACTCCCCCGTCAATCGCGTAACCCTTGAAGACTACAACCTCCATGGAGTAGTGGTGGCATTTACTTCGTACTTACGTTATCCTCGGTGCTGTTCTTTTTTTTTGGCATAATATATCTGTCGACTGAATAAACAATCTAGACTAGACACAAAAACTGACCCTTGAAACTAACTGCAAGGTTGCAACATTCATATGACTAACATCTTTGTTTAGTACATAGATCGAATTATAAAAAAGCGCACAAATTATTTTAAGGCAATGCAAAACACAAGTACCTGCTCTTGAATGTAAGAGAAACTTCGCGTTCTTTGTCAACTCATTTTAATTAGAGAGGTCATTATCTTTACCATAGTGGACCTTTCTCAGAGGCGTCGCTTGGCCACAACAAATTATAGAAATGTTTAGAATACTAAAACATTGCCGAAACTGACGCAGGCATCCATCCATTCTTAATGGCTTTGAGAAACATACGCAGCGTTTGAAGAAACCGACTCGGAAAAAAATATCAAGAACTGAAATATGAACAGGGTATTTTTCGAAACAGCATTGCTCACGAATAGACCTAATTCTAGCCAACTCAATCTTACGTTTGACCAAAAATCCGTTCCGATGGGTTCACCCGGAGACCGTCACACACATAGTCTCTTATTTTCACTGTGGAACGAACGTAAGCAACATGGGGGACTCCACGTATCAGCAAAGTCACCAGACATACAGCAGTCAATACCCACACTATCCAATATATACGGTATAATGACTAGTTTATTAGACTGCAATTTGACTACCTCTGCATTCCTCGAAATCACGCCCATACATAAAGATAGAAAGTCAGGTACAACTGAAAATGCACACTTTTACACGACACACGCAAAAATCATAATCCTCTCAGAAATATAATCCAGAGACAACAACGGAAACATTCTGCATTCATCTCCACCCAGTGAGTTGTATCGGAGAAATGACCCAGTAAATTCTGCTCCGAATTGCCTCGACAGTAGGACAGTCCACAACTCTGCACGGCTGAAAAGGAGTCGATGCTTTCGAAAATCATGTACGATTTTGCTTCATCCACATTTAAAAGCAATCGACTAAACTGCTTGTCCTCTAAATCACGATTATGTACAGGCGCAGCACGGAAACTGACTATACCAGCCCCAAAAGAGGATTAGCGAGGCTTAAAACTCAATTTATGTACGGCATCTTATTGAAAGTTGTTTTTTTCTTCTTCCTTTTGAAGCTGCCGAGGCCACATACTATATCAAAGTGATCAAGGGTAAGTCCGGGAGGAAGAAACACGACAGTCACTGAACACAGTCCAGAAACCCTGGTTGGCATCTGAGTGTGAGCACTGTCGATTAACGACATGTGCAACTTGGAAACACACGCACGTACGCGAGCGGGAGTGCAGGTTTTACACGCACACGCACGCACGCACACACGCACGCACGCACACACACATACATACACACACACGCACGAACACACACACAAACATACACACACACGCACGCACGCACATACAGACAAACATACACACACACATGCATGCACACACACACACACACACACACACACACATGGATACGCACACGCAGACAGCCAAATACCTAGACAAAGACAGACACGCATACAAGCAAAAAAACAACCAAAACACACACACACACACGCGCACGCACACACATATACACATACACAGAGGCATGCATATTATATACAAATACTCACATTACCACATGAAACGACACCGACCCAAGCATCGCCAACCGGCCGACCCATTTGCACAGGGCAATGAAACTCAAATTATAGATCTTTCTCTTAAAACCCTCGTTTCCCAAGTTTGAAAACTGGAATCCATCAGCCACATCGGCGTCTTCGCTGAAACGATCATTTCACGTCGAAACAATCAATTAATCATCGCACCGACTTACAATTCTCCATCCATCACATTGTATTAAAGAGCAAAAGCAAACAAAATCCAATACAAATTGCTGCCTCATAATTGCAAAGTTCTATCTGACATTCTTGACCGTTTAATATAACTAAATCCATGAGGTCTGAAACAAAATGATCTAGATCTATCTGCTGTGTCAAAATCGCAAGATTATTCGGAGTCGTTATCAAATAGTTGCATTTGTAAAAGCTTGGCACGTAGTGAAGCTCAAACTATTTTACGTCAAATGTCTCATTTTTCAAAACAAGGCACTGAGCACATAAAACTGTTAATCTAGAGCGAATTATCAAGCAACAAATCTCCACTTTTCACCTCCACTCTGCTGCTCACCATCGTTCATATCCACTCCTGGACGTCTTCAGACCTCCATAATATTATGGAGTACCCT